CTATCTTTGCTCAAGTCTTATTATGTCACGGTACGCTTAAATATTTACTGAAATGTCATGTTGATTGCTAAATCATGGCTATATGACTTATGTCTTAACAAACAAAAAAAAAACAAAAAACAAAAAAAAACCACGGAGGAATTCGATTTAAAACACTAACAACTTAACTAGATTATAACGTGATCACCTACCCCAGTGTTTGTGTATTGTATTGAGGTTTTCATTGAAATCAAAGGAGAATTTACTTTGATTTGATATTCTTCGAGCATGTATATGGATTCCATTCAGATATTTAAAAAAAAATTAAAAACAGTCGGGTATGAAAAGTGCAAAGTATAATTTTCTTATTCCCTATTTCCCAAAGGTGCGCAAGTAAATGTTGGGTTACAAAATATTAATTCTTCAACTAGACAAGATTGAAAAGTGGTCCTTTCAGTGTCTTGCATAAAAATCCTTTGAAACTAGAACACTTTAAATTTAAGATATTTTTTTTAAAAATTCTGAAGTATTGTGAGTAGTAAACTAGATATGGACTACCAAAGCAGACTTTAGTAAGCTAGGTATGGACCATCAAAGAAGACTGTAGTAAGCTATTATGGACCATCAAAGAAGACTGTAGTAAGCTAGATATGGACCACCAAAGAAGACTGTAGTAAGCTAGAAATGGACCATCAAAACAGACTGTAGTAAGCTATTATGGACCATCAAAGAAGACTTTAGTAAGCTAGGTATGGACCATCAAAGAAGACTTTAGTAAGCTAGGTATGGACCATCAAAGCAGACTTTAGTAAGCTAGGTATGGACCATCAAAGAAGACTTTAGTAAGCTAGATATGGACCATCAAAGCTGACTGTAGTAAGCTAGATATGGACCATCAAAGAAGACTGTAGTAAGTTAGATATGGACCACTTAAGCAGACTGTAGTAAGCTATGTATGGACCATCACATCAGACTGTAGTAAGCTAGATATGACCACTTAAGCAGACTGTAGTAAGCTATGTATGGACCATTATAGATCAGCCATTGAAAAGTATTTAAAAAAACTTATGCTATTCCACTTTACCACTATACCATATTTCTCTTAATATCCTCGAATGAAATTTATTCTGGTGGATTTTTTGTCATATTATTATTATTACACAAGACAGAAAGTATAATAGTCTTTATGATATAAACATGACCTACTATGATCCTAATATGATCATAATATTTTTTTCTATATTCAGGGTCTAGCGTTAATAAAATAATGTCCAACAGCAAGCACCTTTAAATAATGACGATGTGTAGGAGAGCGGCCAAGGTTGAAAAATGCCTCACACCCTACACACAGCGCGCTGTGAGCATGCTAAAACAGCCTGTATGGAAGCGCTATAAAAAGTACTCAGTCATCATCATCATCAACTTTAAAAAAAAAACTGTTGATGGCTAGGACAACAATCAACCTTTAAAGACTGATGCTGGTTAGGAGAGCCACCAGGGTTGAACATGTAATCATTCCTACACTCCACTCGATTGATTGATATCAAGTACATTTGCAGGACAGTCCTCGTGTGCCAACTGGGGGGCGAAAATGTTTAAGAAAAGTCAACCATCTTTATCACCCACCTCAGGTGTCCACTTCTTGAACATCTCAGTCAAGTTCTCAATCAGTGTCCAAATATGAAACCCCGATCACTGAGTCTTTATAGACACTCAAGTGTCTTGACTTTAAATGTTCGTTTTTCTTGGGCTACACCATGAACACGTCTTCTCTTTTCAATTACCTAACACATTGGGCTACACCATGAACACGTCTTAACTTTTCAATTATCTAATACATTGGGCTACACCATGAACACGTCTTAACTTTTCAATTATCTAATACATTGGGCTACACCATGAACACGTCTTAACTTTTCAATTATCTAACACATTGGGGCTACACCATGAACACGTCTTAACTTTTCAATTATCTAACGCATTGGGCTACACCATGAACACGTCTTCTCTTTTCAATTATCTAATACATTGGGCTACACCATGAACACGTCTTCTCTTTTCTATTATCTAACTAATTGGGCTACACCATGAACACGTCTTCTCTTTTCAATTATCTAACACATTGGGCTACACCATGAACACGTCTTCTCTTTTCAATTATCTAAAACATTGGGCTACACCATGAACACGTCTTCTCTTTTCAATTATCTAATACATTGGGCTACACCTTGAACACGTCTTCTCTTTTCAATTATCTAACACATTAGGCTACACCATGAACATGTCTTCTCTTTTCTATTATCTAACACATTGGGCTACACCATGAACACGTCTTCTCTTTTCAATTATCTAACACATTGGGCTACACCATGAACACGTCTTAACTTTTCAATTATCTAATACATTGGGCTACACCATGAACAGGTCTTAACTTTTCAATTATCTAATACATTGGGCTACACCATGAACACGTCTTAACTTTTCAATTATCTAATACATTGGGCTACACCATGAACACGTCTTCTCTTTTCAATTATCTAACACATTGGGCTACACCATGAACACGTCTTAACTTTTCAATTATCTAACACATTGGGGCTACACCATGAACAGGTCTTCTCTTTTCAATTATCTAACACATTGGGCTACACCATGAACGCGTCTTAACTTTTCAATTATCTAACACATTGGGCTACACCATGAACACGTCTTCTCTTTTCAATTATCTAACACATTGGGCTACACCATGAACACGTTTTCTCTTTTCTATTATCTAACACATTGGGCTACACCATGAACACGTCTTAACTTTTCAATTATCTAACACATTGGGCTACACCATGAACACGTCTTAACTTTTCAATTATCTAACACATTGGGCTACACCATGAACACGTATTAACTTTTCAATTATCTAACACATTGGGCTACACCATGAACACGTCTTCTCTTTTCAATTATCTAATACATTGGGCTACACCATGAACACGTCTTCTCTTTTCAATTATCTAACACATTGGGGCTACACCATGAACACGTCTTAACTTTTCAATTATCTAACACATTAAGCTACACCATGAACACGTCTTCTCTTTTCAATTATCTAATACATTGGGCTACACCATGAACACATCTTAACTTTTCAATTATCTAATACATTGGGCTACACCATGAACACGTCTTCTCTTTTCAATTATCTAACACATTGGGCTACACCATGAACACGTCTTCTCTTTTCAATTATCTAATACATTGGGCTACACCATGAACACGTCTTCTCTTTTCAATTATCTAACACATTGGGCTACACCATGAACACGTATTAACTTTTCAATTATCTAATACATTGGGCTACACCATGAACACGTCTTCTCTTTTCAATTATCTAATACATTGGGCTACACCATGAACACGTCTTAACTTTTCAATTATCTAACACATTGGGCTACACCATGAACACGTCTTCTCTTTTCAATTATCTAATACAGTGGGCTACACCATGAACACGTCTTCTCTTTTCAATTATCTAACACATTGGGCTACACCATGAACACGTCTTCTCTTTTCAATTATCTAACACATTGGGCTACACCATGTACACGTCTTCTCTTTTCAATTATCTAACACATTGGGCTACACCATGAACACGTCTTCTCTTTTCAATTATCTAACACATTGGGCTACACATGACAATTGAAGACAAACAACCAAGTATTGGTAATCACATATTTATTTAATATTTCCATTGATCCTCTCTCCCCCCCCGACCAAAAAAAAAAAAATAATAAATAATTATATACTGGTATGCCTATTTAAACAACCAAGTATTTGTAATCACATATTTATTTAATATTTCCATTGATCCTCCCCCCCCCCCCCGACCCAAAAAAAAAAAATTATAAATAATTGTATACTGGGATGCCTATTCCCCCCCCCCCCACAAAAAACTGTGTTCTTTAAAATAAAAAAAATTAAATTGATTAGTCGGTACCAGCTTTCAAAATGTGCAAGTACTAAGTCATGTAGTGTGGGTCATTAGGAAACGGAGAATATGTGGCTTCCAAATCTTTCCAATGAAGCCGTGCCTTAAGTTGTCGTTTATTTGAATGCGGGCTCGGAGGTCCTGTTTGGATCTCTCATGGTGATGGGTGATCACACAAAACGTAACAGGCATTGACTCTTGCGTGTTACTTACACTTACAGCCATAACATATCGATTCGTTGCTTACAGTGTTGTTTTTTTTTTTTTGTTTTTTCTTGTTGTTAAGTTTTGAAAGTACAACTATAGAGTCCATCGAGAAACACACATTTCCCCCAATTTCCTTTAAGCGAAGGACAATGCTAGAAGGTCGTATAAAATACGACTCTTGGTTGTGAAACAATTCGAAGTTTTCTAAAAGCTGTCCGTTGGATTTCGTTTTTCTTATAGTGTTAAACATTTTTAAAAAAAAACGCTGTCGAAAAAAGTCCCCGCTTTGAAAGTGTGGCCGCTGCCTGTTCATTGACCCCGTTTTTCGGACTATGGGACGCACTTTTTTCTTCGAACAATTGCCTCCAAAATTCAGGTGAGTCTTATACTCAAATTAATATAAAAATGGGGAAAATGTCATTTTGTTTTAAAGGCTGAAACGTAAGGTGCGTTTTATCGTCCGTAAAATACGGTATGTAGGAGAAATAGCAGTAACATAATTTAGCACTCCCCCCCCCCAACCAGAAAAAAAACGGAGGGAAATTTTTGCATTGCACTAATTTGGGTCAGGCGACGTGATTTCTTTGGACAGCTCTTCGGTTTCCAGCGAATCCAGGTCCTCTTCCGTCATGTAGAATGGCGCGTGCGGCGTCGAGCTGCGCCTCTTTCTGGACACGTCCCCCTGGACGGTGACGTGGTCGTATCGCGTCAGTATCTCCTTCTTCCTGCTCGTGTAGCTGAAGTAGCACAGCAGCAGGAAGATGGTCAGGCTGCAGAGCAGGATGACGATGACGAGCACGGTCAGCAACGGTGTGTAGCCGCACCAGTTCCTCTCGTCCTCGTTGTTGCCGCAGTCGTCATAGGTGTTGCACACCAGGGTCCGGTCTATGCAGAACATCTGCTCGCTGCAGTAAAATGAATTGTTGAAGCATCCTGTGTGAAATAAAAAAGGGAAAAGTGGGGGGGGGGGGATATAAAAAAATAAATAAATAAAAAAATAAAAAAAAATAGAAAAGGTGTTTTAAAAATAATTTAAAAAAAAAATAAAATAAATGAATTGTTGAAGCATCCTGTGTGAAATAAAAAAGGGAAAAGTGGGGGGGGGGGATATAAAAAAATAAATAAATAAAAAAATAAAAAAAAATAGAAAAGGTGTTTTGAGAATAATTTTAAAAAAAAATCAAATAAGTATTACAATTATTGTTTCAAAGATTTTAAAAATTATTTCATTCTTATTTTTATGTTTACTACTCCAATCGGGAAAGCAGGTTGTAAACTGCATCATTTTTAACATTTGCTTAGCGGTGGTTGGGCTACGAAGATGAAAAGGTTGGCCACTTGTATTCAGTAGAAAAGAGAAAAGCGCTTTAACCAGGGACAATAAGATAGAATTTGGGGGTTGGGGGGGGGGGTGTCCAAACAGACCTTCCTTTAGTAAACCAAAAAGATCTGCCGTTATGAATCCCAAAAGACCTGCCGTTATAAAGCCAAACAGAACTGCCGTTATAAAGCCAAACAGACCTGCATTTATAAAACTAAACAGAACTGCCGTTATAACGCCAAACAGACCTGCCTTTACGAAGCCAATCAGATCTACTGTTATAAATCCCAACAGACCAGCCTTCATAAAGCCAAACAGACCTTCCTTTAAAAAGCCAAACAGACTTGCCGTTACAAAGGCAAACAGATCTGCCTTTATAAAGCCAAACAGACCTGCATTTATAAAACCAGACAGAACTTCCGTTATAAAGCCAAACAGACCTGCCTTTATAAAGCCCAACAGACCTGCCTTTATAAAGCCAAACAGAACTGCCGTTATAAAGCCGAACAGACCTGCCTTTACTAAGCCAATTAGATCTGCTGTTATAAATCCCAAAAGATCTGCCTTTATAAAGCCAAACAAATCTGCATTTATAAAGCCAAACAGACCTGCCGTTATAAAGCCAAACAGATCTGCATTTATAAAGCCAAACAGACCTGCCGCTATAAAGCCAAACAGATCTGCATTTATAAAGTCAAACAGACCTGCCGCTAGTAGTAGACGCTTGAAAACCTCAGTTATCAGCAACGTGGCCGTCAGCTTGTGGTGAAAATGTGTGTGCAGGTAGGTCAACGATCCGTTGTCTCCCAAGTCATAATCGTCGCCAGGTGTTTCCCTTTCACAGTAACCGTTGGGGCCTGAAACAGTTGTCATCAGCAAGTATCAACCTTAGGGGCCTCAAATAGTTGTCATCAGCAAGTATCAACCTTAGGAGCCTCAAACAGTTGTCATCAGCAAGTATCAACCTTAGGGGCCTCAAATAGTTGTCATCAGCAAGTATCAACCTTAGGGGCCTCAAACAGTTGTCATCAGCAAGTATCAACCTTAGGGGCCTGAAACAGTTGTCATCAGCAAGTATCAACCTTAGGGGCCTCAAACAGTTGTCATCAGCAAGTATCAACCTTAAGGGCCTCAAACAGTTTCAACAACATATATCAACCTTTGGGCCCTGAACAAATTGCTGCATCAACAAATTTCAACCTTAGGGGCCTGAAAAAGTAGCGTAAAAAATATCAACCTTTGGGGCCTGAAAAAGTTGCATCAACAAATATCAACCATTGGGGCCTGAAAATTTGCATTAAAAAATGGCAGGATGGTAAGAGTAATCGCAAAGATCTCTTTGGTAATTTGCAAGAGCACTGACACATTTCTTTGCTCATGCACCCGATTCCGGGAATAAGAGCCGTTGCCTCTTTGCGCTAAAATTCACTTCGTTGGCAACAAGTACACGCGCATCATTCTAGCGCACCACAGCTTCCCGCTTCCTTGCACGCCGCTGCATCATTCTAGCGCACCACCACTTCCTGCTTCCTTGCACGCCACTGCATCATTCTAGCGCACCACCACTTCCCGCTTCCTTGCACGCCACTGCATCATTCTAGCGCACCACCACTTCCCGCTTCCTTGCACGCCACTGCATCATTCTAGCGCACCACCACTTCCCGCTTCCTTGCACGCCACTGCATCATTCTAGCGCACCACCACTTCCCGCTTCCTTGCACGCCACTGCATCATTCTAGCGCACCACCACTTCCCGCTTCCTTGCACGCCGCTGCATCATTCTAGCGCACCACCACTTCCCGCTTCCTTGCACGCCGCTGCATCATTCTAGCGCACCACCACTTTCCGCTTCCTTGCACGCCGCTGCATCGTGTTGTTCACCCTATGTTACCATTGTCAGAAAGGTCCACGCAAAGAAAATGCTCCTCCAGTTTTTCTCCACTGCTTTTTCTTCAAGTACGCTCACCTAACAACGCCTGATCCCCTGCTCTCAGCTGAACCGACTCCTCTGCACACTCCGCAAAGTACTGCTCATTCTTGTAGAAGACAAACTTGGCCACCAGGGAGTCGCCCGTGGCCGGGGAGAAGTAGACGGTGCAGTCTTTATGTTTCGGTGGGTGCCAGATTTGAACCTTGACAGCGTGCTTCACCACCAGCCTGGAGTTACATAGTTTATCGACGTACACTAGGGCAGAGGGAAAGAAATGTTGCAGTTTTTTTAGAGCTATAGAGATGAGACCAGATGGCAACTTTGAGAAAGAAATCACAAAGGAAAACTCTAAATTATGTAACTATATTGTTGATTATAACTGTCACTATAAATGCAATGTGAAAGGTAACTCTAAAAGTAAATATAAAAGTAACTTTAAATGTAACTATAAAAGTAACTACAAATGTAAACATAAATTGAACTGTGAATGTATCAATAAAAGAAATTATAAATGTAAATATGATATCTACTATAAATGTAACTATAAATGAAACTTTGAATTTTACTATAAATTATGCTAAAATGTGAATGCAAATATAAATGTAACCATAAATGTAACTTTTCATGGTCTTTATTTCCTCTACCTATAATTTCTTTTTTTTTCACCTTTTAAAATGTTAAAACACACATTTTGTAAAAGTAACGTATGTTCAGTTCATTAAATTTTTTTAAGAGTAGAGCAATACAATCTTTAACTCACTTGTTTTAGGGGAAAATTTACTTGAATTGGCGTTGGTGGCTGCTAGACCAATTAAAGACTGAAAGCAGAAGATGTCCAGTATGACGCCATAGGTCCTGGCCAGGTCCATGCTATCTGTGCTGATGTCGATGAAGTTTTTTAAGAAAAGGATGGGGAAAAAATACTCCACATTGTGTTGGGAATCGTGGTGTGATTGTTTTAAGTCATAAAGACTGCAACTTTGACTTTCTTTGTCGTTTTGTAGTTTTTAGCCGTCCTTGATTGGGAAGTTTGTAAAGGGTCTGCAAAGAGAGAGAGAAAAATACTCTCAGATAACTGAATTGTTAGACTTTCAGTTCTGGAGGGTTCTGACTCGTTCACTATAAATACGATGGCCGACTGTGACCGACAGAATCACTTACGAGATTTACCAGACTTACAGCAGCCCTCCATTCTAGAGTGTTCTCTGTGTATGTGTCGATTAATATTTGTACCCTTCTAGTATTATACTTTTGTACTCGCTGTCATGTAAGTTAATATATACCCGGTATGCATATTTTTTTTTAATTTCTGTATTCTTTTTTACAATATTTTTATACTAACTTAATAGTATAATTAAATTGATAATTGTAAATATCCCTAGCTTTGGTGTCGTTATTTCCTTTGTAAATTAGTGGGTCAGTCATTTGCTACATATTTTTCCACCTAACGAGCCAAATGTTACAACTACAGATTACATTTGATAAAAATTATAGCGTTATTGAAAAATACCCTTAAAGTAGACTTGGGCCTGTTTACAAACTTTAGTTGATAAAGACGCTTCCAGAATAAAATGCGCATGGATCGATACAGCTTTAAAATCGATCCAGAAATTAATGCAGTGGGCTCGAACATTCATAGAAGTATCGAAATGGCAGCGGTACAATGTGTAAGTGTAAGGATCGTTTAACAAAATATTGTAATCTTTACCTCCATTGTGTCACTGAGCTTGAAAGTTGACAGCTAGATATCAAGAGTGAGTCAGTCTTACGAACTTGCTGCTCATCAGGTGCCGGTGTCTTCACGCTTGTATTGTATTGAAGATATCGGTTAAATGAATAATGCTACGCAGTATGGCACTGGCCACTGATACGTTATGACTCTTTAGTCTTGTGTTCCAGTGCCCAGTCAGTGTGTCAGGGATCACAATTTACAGAAATCTGCGACGACATGTTGATGTTTCCAGCGGGGGATTCCCGGTAACAAAATGCAACTGTTCAACGTGTATAACTTTTAATTTTTAAACGAAACCTGAAAGAGGATGATTCATATGCATGTCGACAAAACAACATTGATGCCAAGACAAATTGCCTTTCGCCACAGCCATTTTGAAGCTGCGCCCTAATGTGACGCACCAACGCAGTGCATTTGAGTGCGAAATTTTAAAATAATAATAATATCAATTACCTCCCCCCCCCCTATTTTCTGAAAAATTAATTAGAAGCTTAACTCTGTTAAATTTGTAGGTGAAGTTAATTTTGATGGTCAGGGTCTATACTAACTTTAAAAAAAATTACTGTGACGACTTTCATTAACAAAATGTTTACCGAAATCAGAAGAAGGGGAGAAAAGTCACCGTCAGTTTGCCTTTCGGCTGTGGTAAATAAGTGAAACAGCGAACTTTTTGGACGAAAACCATCTACAGCAAAAAATACAAGAAAGAACACACACAAAAAACAAAACAACACACAGCTTTGTTTGATAGAGAGCACACCGGAAATTACTCAAGTCTAAAAGTAAATCGTCTCTATGTTACCCGCCCGCTTTCTCCGGCCTAGTTCCACGGCGATTACCTGCTGAAATTCATATGAGTTACTTTTTTGTTTGTACGTGAGGCAGTCGATCAATAGACGGCGTGATTATCTACTGCAGCGTTCCCCAAACGGTGGTCCGTGGACCGGCACCGGTCCGCAAGCCAGACGTTACCGGTCCAGAGAGCATGAATATTGATGTTTAAATAGGAAGAAAACGTAATTAATAAATCTGGCACCGGTCCCTGGTGCAGTTTCGAAACTTGTCTAGTGGTCCGTGAAACTTGACAGTTTGGGAAACGCTGATCTACTGGCTCCGAAACCTGCTATATTAAAGTTTTCAAAGTAGCCGTTCTGAAGACCAGTCTGCTCAGGTGCCAGAGCAATACATCGCTTGTCGGGCCATGCACAGGTTGATCTGGTGTGCTCAGGTGCCAAAGCAATGCATCGCTTGTTGGGCCATGCACAGGTTGACCTGGTGTGCTCAGGTGCCAAAGCAATACATCGCTTGTCGGGCCATGCACAGGTTGATCCGGTGTGCTCAGGTGCCAAAGCAATACATCGCTTGTCGGGCCATGCACAGGTTGATCTGGTGTGCTCAGGTGCCAAAGCAATACATCGCTTGTCGGGCCATGCACAGGTTGATCCGGTGTGCTCAGGTGCCAAAGCAATACATCGCTTGTCGGGCCATGCACAGGTTGACCTGGTGTGCTCAGGTGCCAAAGCAATACATCGCTTGTCGGGCCATGCACAGGTTGATCCGGGGTGGTCCTAAAAAATTGGTTTTGTCTCCTGGTGTCAAATGTGTGCCCTTTTCTCGTTTTACGCGCTGATCTTTTTCAACGTCTCATCTCTTGGGTGCAGATCTTTCTCTCGAGACTTTGTTTTTCAGAGCGTTGAATAAAGACTGACATAGAAAGAGAATGTCTCAATTTGATGCATATTTTTGCCTATTCGATCGATAGACATTGGCCTGAAACACTTGATTGAAGTATGTTAAGAGGTACTGAGCTAGTTTAATTTCCTCAAAGCTTTAAAAAGAATCATTTGTTTAATTTGCCTCTGCAGCTAAAGTTTATAATCTTTGGAAATTTGAAAAAAAAATTATTAAAAAAAAGGTAATTGACCAAATTGACTTTTGTATAGCTCATTACCCACAAAATAGTAAAAGGAAGATACATACCAAATGTTATTACTTCTAATATTTATATTAGCTGAGATTTTAGAATTCTACTTTACAAAACACCAGAAAAAGATGATGTATAGAATCTTTCTCCCGTCTCGTATTTCAAGCTGCCGCGCCTACCTAAACCCCTCATGATAACAACTTGTTCACCACATTTCATTCAGATGTTGCAGGTGCAAAGATTTTTTGAAGAAAAAAAAAAGCCAATGAAGTTTAACTCATTCATCCAAACGAAAATAACATACAATGCATTCAACAAATAAACATTTAAAAAAAAAAAAAAGAAAAAACTATTATTAGACATAACATTCTAACCATATCTGTATTTTGGATATGTTTTTTTTTTTAAAATTACATTTCCGATGAGTGTTGCAGGTGCAAAAATTTTTTGAACAAAAAAAAAAGCCAAATAAGTTTAACTCATTAAACCAAACGAAAAAAACATAAAATGCATTAAACAAATAAACATTTAAAAAAAAAAAAAAGAAAAAACTATTATTAGACATAACATTCTAACCATATCTGTATTTTGGATATGTTTTTTTTTTTAAAATTACATTTCCGATGAGGCGCGCGATTTGAAAACGACTTCAGATTCTTCTTGCCCTGCATCCTGCTCTTGTTTTCTCGGTTGTGAAAGCGGGGCCTTCTGATGGTGGCTGTAGTGCATGAAAGAAGACTTCATGGCGTACTGTTTCCGGCCAAAGTAGCCGGTCAGCAGGCACAGGCAGACCGCGGCCGTCATCAGCAGGGCGATGCTGGTGTAGAAGGCGTTGATGTATCCGCAGAACAGCGTCTCATCTTTCTTGTTGCTGCAGTCGTCGAGACCGTTGCATGTCAGGCCTTCCTCTATGCACATGTCGTTCAGCTGACAGTCGAACTGCCCGGTGGGACAGCCTGAAAGTAAACGCCGTGTAAGGATATGTGTAAGTTTTCTACCGCGTATTACGATTGACCCCCCAAGCCGCGACTGAAATTCATGTTCCTATATTTTTTAAATTTTTTTTTTGCCGTGCGATTCAATCAGTGTGTACGGGAAAGCTAGTTTCTGATGTGGACAAGAAGCGTTTCTTTCTTACAAATATTAAACTGGGGCATAGAGACTGACCGAATTTCGGCGTCGGCTTATGTTTCGGCACCGAAAGTTGCCATTTGATCACTTTCTGCTTAGTTTCTGTTTTGGGTGAAACAGGGAAGTTAACTTTTGGTTTAATTTCGGTTTCAGCCGAACGTGATTGTGACTTTCGGCAATCTGGCCTAAAGTGATTGAGGTTTTCGGTAATCTACTAGAAGTCAGACAGTCTATAGGCCAGAAATATGATATTCATTATTTCTCGACGTCTTGCTATCATTGTATGATACATAACAAAGGCTTTGCGAAAACTGCTCACAGCTGCATGATGACCAGTTTGTCCTTTATTTTCAAGAAATAAATTTCAATTAAGCCTATACAAATAAAAATATTTGTGCTCAAGAAAATCTAATGGAATGGTAATATTTATATCATTATTTTTGTTTCAATTTTTTTTGGTTAAATTGGAACCCTAGGTTTATTCAATTTCTTCATTTTGATTTATCATTATCATGCTCATCAATGTTGTCATATGTCAAGGGTTAACATTGAATAATCATAGATATTGGCCATATTTCCATTATTATTATTATTATTATGTTTAAAATTAAGGCAATGTATTCTTTTTCGATTCATTCACTTTTGAAATTCATCATTATCACGCTCATAAACATTGTTATTGACGAAAAAAACACGCAATTGCATGTATCATGGGTTCGGATATAGTAATTATAAAGTAGGCCTACTGCACACCTGTTTACATTTATGATTTTGGCCACCAATTTGGATGTCTTTCGCATTTTCCCCGCAAGACGGTTAAAAAAATTCCTCCCCCCCAAATCCGTTGGGGTGAGGGAAGTTGGTCACCGAGCGAAATAATTACGTCACCAGCACGAAATGGCTGGTGTTTTTGGTACAAGGATAACTATTAATACAGCGATATCTTTCCAGCTGTTTATAAAAAACACACAAAGCATTAGTATGACAACGACCGCGAAACATTGTGGATGGTATTTTTAATAGCTTTAATAACTGATATTTAGGTGACAATCGGATCTATTAGAGTAAAAATAATTAATTTCAATATATGTCTAGGTAGCACTGTAATTATATTATAAAACCAAAGGGCACCCACGGGTCTACGTTGCCTGAATTTTGCCCCCCCTCATTCCACTTTAAAATACATTTTTAACAAATGTAAATTACTTTTTAATTAAAATGGTAAATCAAAAGTATTCATTGGATGTTTATTTATTAATATTCACGATGATCTCATTTTTTTATAAATAGTTTGTAAATATTGATACTTTCCCAATCATTTTTCGATTTATGCAGAATGTATGCGTGATGGAATTTCAAAATATCTAAATATTTCGGCTTCGTTTTCGAATTAAACTCTCGTTAAGCTTTTGGTTTCGGCTTCAGTTTCGGCCTGAAAGTAATTTTTAGCTTTCGGCCTAGTTTTGTTTTCGGCCGAAATCAGAAAATCACTTTCGGCCGTTCTTAACTGTGGCATATTTAAGAGACCGGGACGTGGTTCCTAAAACATAATTTTTCTTTGTCACACTCCCCAACACTTTTTTTTTGCGATGGCAACTCTCTAAAACTTGACATTTAATTGTGTAGCAAATTTATAAATAAATGGGGTGGGGGAGCACTGCGTTCAGTTCAAGTCATATGAAGTAAATAAATATTAAAAGAAGACACGTTTAGGCTTGAAATTAAAGAATGAAAAATGAATAGGACTTTTCAGCTAAATGCCTTCTACAACAGACAGTACAGCACAAGAACTTTTTTAATATATATATATATATATCTGAAATTAAAAACCCAAGTGTTACTCAGATGACAATGCAGCTGACTCTGGTCTCTGCGTAGAAACAATTTCGCCTAAACTCATGTAAAGATATTGATATTTTTTTATTACGTTTCAATCATGTTTCCCCCCCCCCACCCCCCTCGTGTCCTCCCTTTAGCCGTGACACGTTGACCTACCCAAACGACCCTTTGGTTTCCGGAAGATCTCCCTGATCAGCAGGGTAGCGTGCAGTCTATCCTCGAGGTTGGGGTCGAGGGTNAAAAAAGTGATTCATTGGGGGGGGGGGGGGGGGGGGGGGGGGGGGGGGGGGGGGGGGGGGGGAGGGGGAGGAAGGGGGAGGAAGGGGGGTAAAATTGAAAGCATGCCAATTAAACTCATTACAGTTGATTAATTATTTTGTTCCGACGACAAAGAAAATGTAACATTTTAGATGTGACGTGTTGAGACTTTATTTATTGTTTATTTCATTAAGTGAAACTTTGAAAATAGCCTCGGCTTTTTTTTTTATTATTGTTTTGTTTCGTTTTCAAGGAATTATCCCGATTTCAAAGATGATTTGAAGACTTTGTGTTTTTTTTTTTTTTAAGGTTTGAGCTATTTGAAAGATTTGAGAGATCACAAAGGCAACGGCTTTATATAAATGCGAGAAATCACAAGGGCAGTGACCTTTTGAATGATCTCACAAATTTAATTTTCCGAAAATGTCACAATCTTTTCATGGCCCTCCAGTCTGTTTTCAAGGTGCACAAATAAATCCAACCACCCCCCCACCCCACCAAAAAAAAACAAAACAACCCATAACGTGCCAACTGGCAGTTCTCATAAGTCTCCGAATTAAGACAACGAAAACCGTTACAGCCTACCGAAGAAATCCTCGTGCGACGCGCTCAGGTGGAGAGCTTCAACGGTGCAGTTTGGCTGAAGCATCTGAAGGCTGTACGTGGTGAACGAGCCCAGCAGCCAGTCGCCGCTCAGGGGCTTGAAGTGGACCCTACAGAAACGCTTCTTGGCCGGGATTTTGTTGATGGCGACCTGGATCGAGTGGTTCACGGCGAAATGCTTGTCACAAATGGCGTCCATGTGAACTGAAACGGTTGGATCACACAATAATAATTTAAAAAAACAACAACAAAACAATATGAAAATAAAAAGTTTGCATTTATGCATTAATTGATTTTATGAAGAATTTGGATGAGTTGAAGTCGGTTGAAGAGTTGAAGTGGCTGGAAGTAAGGTGAATGAAGTTGAGGTGTGTGGAAGAGGGTTTAAATGAGTTGACGAGTGTTGAAGTGAGTTGAAGCGATTTGAAGTTCATTCAATTGAGTTGAGTGTTTTGAATTTTGTTGAAGTGAGTTAAAGTTAGTTGAAGTGAGTTGAAGTGAACACTGTAGCTAGTGGATGGGAATAGGTGAAAATAAACTTCAATTTACTTACCAGTGGTCGAATAAAAAAATACTCTAATTAAATGACCCAGTCTTCAAATGAGATAGCCTAGCGCAGTGGTCGGCAAACTCATTATTCAACAACAACAAAACAAAAACAGCAGCTGGACGATTAAAAAAAATTTGTAAGCCAAATTCCTTTTCACGAACCTGTCAAGAATTCTATTTTGCCGACTGGCCGAGCCGCACTTGGGTCGCTAAAGAGTCGACCACTGGCCTAGCGGAATGTTACCAAAAACAACAAAAGGACTAGAACATTTACAGCATGATATATAAAAAATAGCTTTACTTTTTTGTGGATAAAATGTTAACTTCGCGAGTGCCTCGGAAAGGATGGATGTCATCACGCCCAGGAGCATTAGCCACATAGATGATGTTGATAGAAGGCCGGTCATTCGATTGATGAATTGGACAGGGGGGCCGGTCATTCGACACTGCCGAGTCACAAATATACAATTGATTATTTGATCGTTCATGTAAGACATAAAGCAATAGATTCCAATGCTTTGAATTCAAAATGTACGGAATTCTTATAAGATATATTTCAGTTTCATTTGCTTACATTGTTTCAATTTTGTTCCCTCATTGTGAAGACCATCTAAAGCAGCGGTTCTCAACCTGTGGATCGTGACCCCCCTTGAGGGTCAAACAAACGACCCTTTCCCAAAGTTCGCCTTAGACCATCGAAAAACACATATACTTAAGAGTTATGAAGTAGCAGCTGAAATAATTTTGTGGTTGGGGATCCAACCCACAACAGGAGGTACTGTATTAAAAGTCCACGGTGTTAGGAAGGTTAAGAACCACTGATCTAAAGAGTGCTTCCCTGTTCGTTAAGCTTAGATTCAAGTCATGACATCACCATAAACCTTGTAGCTTTCACAAGACAGGTAAAAATGAAGGAAAAATTTAATTGATCTAAAAATAAAGCAAATAATCATTGCTTTTGTAATGTCAGCGTATAATGACCTTTTAGGCTTAAACTTTGAATTAATTATCCACTAGAAGTACCATTATAAATATTTATGTTCAATATTTATAACAGTTTACCCCACCTACTCCAAACGCTGTCTTAAATCTCCCCCGTGTAGCAGACTGATCTACTACCGTCTAAAAGATAATAATGGAAGGACTGCATTCGAGCTGTATAGAGGGAAATAGTGGAACCAAGGTATGTTGAAACTTAAATCTAGCTTCAACATACGTTGCTCCACTTTTTCGTTCTCGCTCAGTCTACAGTAGGCATTTCACATGTCTCAAACAGTACAGAGGACGTAAGAGAACGAACGTGTGAATGGGATGTTCTCATGACCAGCGGTCGTACTTTTCAAATGGCTCTGGGTGGGCTTTCTTAGAAATTCCCTGCACTTCACGCACTGCCTCATTCGTAGAACCATGACTTTATATTTACCTTTTTTTCAATTTTTGTTCCTAACCAAATTTCCATCCCTTGCTCTTACATTTTTTTTTATTTGTTCAACGCCGGTTCGAAGCGGTGCGCGTCAAATTTTTAATAACTAATTATCTTAACTTTGTTCTCAGGTGAGCAGAGCTGTCGTGTGACTTTTAGAGCCCAATTCCCCCCTCCTCCATCCCCCCCCCCCCGCCTTTCCCTTTTTGCCACTTTTCGGCTCTATGCCAACCGGAGGCGTAGCTCAGAAATAATTGTAATCGATATTGTCTTTCGATCAACCATAACAATGAAATACATTTAAATTAGAACTATTCGATTATCTCTCTAGGTATGTTGAGATCCCGTGGCCTAAGATAGTGGAAGCACGCATTTGTAAGCATCTAATAATATCAACAAGCCAGTCACTGATAGGTAAGCAATCTTTGCTTATTTATTTCATTGCATTGATGATTATTTCATTGTCATACTGAAAAAAACAACAGCTGTATCCAGAAGGGAAATTTGAAAACGGTAAGTATTTTTTTTTAAAGACAGAAATCTGCTGTTTCAGATACTGTGTGCTTGGATCTTCTTAGGCACTAGATAATTTAATTCAAAGTAAATAGCCATTTACTTTTTTTTTAAATATAGGAAATGATTATCCGTAAATTGAAAAAAATAATTATGACATTTTCTAAAAATCAGTTTTTCCTCCATTTGAATGACCAAAGTGTTAAATTGTTCAAATGCCCTTGCTACGTGATATTCATATTCTTATTGTTTCCTTTACTAAGTCTTTAAAATTAAAAAAAAAACAACATCAAATGTAATAAACTTGAATACAATCAAAGCTACATCTTGTAAAACACGATTATTTAGGTCATAGAGCACTTTAGAAGGACGAGAAAACCCTATTCCAAGAACAACAAAAAGCTTTATTTGAAAGACAAGTTCCTAGATTTAAACGACTAGGTACTGAATACAATATTTTAGAAAACAGACATGGCTTACTTGCCCAGAGCTTATTCTTAAAATCTATCCAGACTTGGTCTCATACTTGTCGATGTGTCGCCTCATACGTGTCGCTGTGTCGTCTCGTTCTTGTCGCTGTGTCGCCTCATACGTGTCGCTGTGTCGTCTCATACATGTCGCTGTGTCGTCTCATACACTTCGCAGTGTCCGTCTTATACGTGTCGCTGTGTCGTCTTATACTTGTCGCTTTGTGACTCTTAAAAAAGCATCAGCAAAACAATCATGTTTAAATGCCACTCTGCTTGCTACGTTACTACTTTGGTCACAGCTTAAAATTGTTAGACTACGGCACATACTGTATTGTATAATTTTAACGGTTTCGGTACAACTCCTAATTGGTTCAATTAATATATATATATATATATATTTTTACCACAGAACTTTTGATAACTTCATGTAGAATGCCGTCCTCGTCAAGAACGATAAACCTTTTGATCCTGGTCTGCTTCCTGACCACAGCAGCTGCTAAATTCTACCCCTTTACCTGTAAGTTATTCCGAGAGAATTAGCTTCGACGATACGACGAAGTTGCCCTATGCCATGCTTGTATGCACAATAAGATGGGGGGGGGGGGGGGGGGAATAAAATTTAATCTAGATTTGCGGGTTTCTGTTTAGCTTTCAGTTTGCAAATATTCATTGTGAGGCGCTCATCACCTCCTTAACGGATGCCTATAGATACACGGATTTAGATGAAAGTATAATTTATTCCTGGTATTTTTTAGCGAGAGAAAAAATTCATGAGAAGTAGCGAACTGAAAGAAGTCAGACTGCGAAATGCATTAAAGATGGAGTATTGTTTGTATGGGGGGGGTTGTGATTTCTAAGACGGGGAAACGTCTCATCGCGTTACGTCATGTTACTATTTTTAGACATTGCTTTCGTAACACATAGCTTCGGATAATGTATCACCACATACATACAACCGTAGAGGTTTGTAAAAAATGTCCGTAAAATAACGCTGTAAACACGTTAACGTAGAGGTACCGAGCAGCGGCTGGGAGGTTGGCCAAACGGAATACTAGGATTTTTACTAACATCTTAATCAGCTTGGCCAGACTGTACGCCCGGATGTTCTAATAATAGATCCCCCCCCCCCGATTAAATGACAAACCCTCTACGTGTTGAATGCGCGTTAATTATCAGGTACAACTTACCAGTTTGGAAATGTTTAATTTTTTAAATTTTTTTTGGGGATGTCGATTTATTTAGCTAGAAGCTTATTTCTGATCTTGCCGTCATAATTTGTTAACGACAGCCACGTGATGACCTGCAAGATTATTTCCTTGGTGGAGAGTTGTTCGTGGTTTAAGGTGGCGGTATCTGATATGTTAAAAAAATGAGGAATAATATATTTTTTAAATATGAATTATCTTCATTTCCTGAAATAGACGTTCTATAAGATGCTGAGTTCAAAATACTGAATTCCTGCTCAATTTTTTTTTTCTGATTCCTATTGAGTGTTAAACAACTAACTTTATTACCTACAGATTACTTGGACCAGTACTGCGGGACAACCATCTATGTTAGCCAAGAAATAAGGGTGAGACTGTCCCAGCAAACCTATCTTTATCCCAATAAAGAGTGCGGTATGACTTTCAGACCCTCCGCCGGGAACAAGCTGGTGGCCACGTTCCTCAACTACAGCATGCCGTCGGATTACGTGGATGCGTCGGGGATATGCAACTACGAGTCGATCCAGCTGACCCAAGAGTCAGCGCTCTATTTTGGTAAGTCATGGGGGGGGGGGTCGGGTGCAGCTAGGGATTGATGGTAGTGTATTAACCTGGTGGCCACGTTCCTCAACTACAGCATGCCGTCGGATTACGTGGATGCGTCGGGGATATGCAACTACGAGTCGATCCAGCTGACCCAAGAGTCAGCGCTCTATTTTGGTAAGTCATGGGGGGGGGGTCGGGTGCAGCTAGGGATTGATGGTAGTGTATTAACCGTGTCCGGCAGTTAGTACGAAAAATAATCGTACGGAACCAATTTGCACGAAACCAATTTGCACGAAACAAATTTGTACGAAGGAACATTGTTTGAAAGACAGTTAGCTAAATCGAATGTGTATTTATTTTTTTTTTTTACAACAGAACTTTTTTGAACGAAAAAAAATGGTAGAAATTAAACAACCCCATAAGACATACTTTTTTCGTAGAAATCATTTTAAAACTGTAATATCGAAGCAAATTATGGATGGGGCTGAATATCTGTCAAAACATGCATTACACGTAACGCAGTTGATAAGAATCCCAAAGAGTGATTCCCCTCCGAAGGCGCCCAACCGCACATTTTTATCAACACCTCGGTACTATGTTTTTATTCAAATGATTCACTCTCTTTTTATAAAGTAGATTTTTTTTTCACCAACTATTTCAGAAAAAAAAACAAAAAAAAGAAAATACTACGCACCAAACGCTCTTGCGGTACTTTTTTAAAAGAATATCATTTAGTGCGGTTGTCGGGAATTTTTCCAATTATCTTCCCCTTGAAATTCAGGACAAAACAGATTTTGGGGGTTTGGGGTGGGACTGAAATATTGAAAGAATGTGTTGTCACCGCCAACGAGTCGGTCTATGTGCCAAGTTCCAGCTTCATAGCTTGACGGGACGTCAGCCAATAAGCCGTCCGAAGATTTTGCCGTCCAGCTAGCCACAAAAAAAAAATTACTCTCACATTCCCTAAGAATATTTTAAAATAATATCCATACTATTATGTCATTTCGAAAACAAACAAGTATTGTAACAACAATCCTTGCTATAAATTTCCTTTTAGCTCATTTCTTTTTACTAATTTCCGGTGCGTATATTTAACATAGTGGACATGTTGGGAATATGCATCTAATAGTCCCCTTAGCTGACCGCCCCCCCCCCACACACAAAAATCGTCTGTGTTCTCGAGTAGGTTTGCGAGTGCTATGGTAATAGCTGGACACTATGATGGGACAAGTAAAATATAATTATCAAATCAAATTTTGCCACGGCAGCAACAGAGAGCATGGCTTTTAAAATGCCACCGTATAACAGTTTATTTTCTTTTATGTATAGTGGGTAGTTTGGTGTTGAATTTAACAAAGAATATTCTTTTTTTGCATTACCATAATTATAAAATCCAGACAGTAATTACAATAGCTAAGTAAAAAAAAATGATATTACAGCGTCTATAAAAAATTGCGCTTTAGTTTTCCTTGTAGAGTAATTGATCTTGTACAGCATTGCTCTTTAAAAAACAGAAAGTAAGAGCAACACCCAGGGTTATGTCAGGTCACACATTTTCCTGTATTCCTGATGTATTACCAACAACAAACAAGTCGTTTTTGACAGCTTCCTCGAAATGGGACATCATTACTTCACTGTAAATGAGACAATGGCCTTCCCAGTTCTAGGAATAGAATTTGTATCAGTCACTTGATCATTACTCGACACATTCCTAATTAACCGTTTAGAATATATTTTTATATTCCTACCTGTTGTTCGTACCTCGCAAGCAAAAAGGACATTTTTTTCCCCTCGACGATGATTATGCCTGTGGCTTTTGAGTCCTATTTTGTAAAGTGTGTAAAGCTTGGGTCACACGTTGGACATGTTTCAGAGTCCTAGTGATGTTGAAGACAGAGTCGTCGCGTGACTTTTGGAGGTCCCTTGCACATTTTTAGTTGTTTTTAAACAAAAGTTTTTTGAGAGACAAAAATCACCGCCATTTTTTATTTTTCATTTAAAGTTGATAATTTATTGTATGTTCGTAGTTAAGAGCTTATAGTTTGAAGCAAAGGCAAACAAAAACGTTATCATTTTAAATTATGTAATGATCCCCTTATGAAAACCACCGCGCTGTTTGCGGCTGGCTAAAGCTTCGATTAAATAAAGTTCTCAAGCCAACGTTTATATCTATCAATGTTCAGTTCGATATTCCAATATGAAAGGTGCGAAGATAAAGTTTAAAATCAATGCAATCAACAATTTATATTTGGATACATCTTTAAACTATATAGTTTAATGCTGGGCTCAACACTTATTGTTCAATCCCTTATGCAAACAAATAGAACAGTGGTTCCCTATCTACTCGACTCGTTGAACCCTTTTTAAAATATTAATTATATGCAGGAGCCATTTACACCTACTCTACGCATGACAAGTTTTCTGTAATTTGTTTTGTTTTAATTTTATCTCCTAGAGCTGCCGCAGAGCTTATGAAATGTGTACGTGGAGCACCTTTTTGGGAATCCTTGCTCTGGGTATTTGAATAACCATTTTTGCGTTGTAATAAAATAATTGTACAACACTATAAAACACAGCCCCGCCCGCTTGCCCCACTGAACTAACCCCAATGTTTCCCCTGCTTTAGGTTACAGGGGATACTGCGGCTGGACCAAACCCAACGGCCAGTACGACCTACACGACTACACCACATTCAGCTTCCAGGTCTGGCAGAACATGTACGTGAACACGGCGCAGGTCGACCTGCTCATCACAGAGGTCTTTAACAAAGATTATCAGAACTGTAAGTCAACGTCAGATATGGCGGCCTGCTTTATGTCAATCAGCTGAATTTCAGCTTTGTAACGTCAGTGTTTTTTTTCTCCCCTAACTTTTAAATTTCATACTATAAATTATGAATAGATAAAAGATGGTTTATAATAAAGCCATGTGGCACGATTTAGCATCCAAGTTGAGACTGACCTTTTGATGTAATTTGATATTTCATGTTTCAATGTTTGAGGCTGAAGGTTGTTTTGATAGAAGTTTTTGCCAAGAGTTATTTGATTAAAATTTAAGTTTTCCAAGAGTTATTTGATTGAGTTTAAATTTTCAAAGAGTTATTTGATTAAAATTTAAGTTTTCCAAGAGTTATTTCATTCAGTTTAAGTTTTCCAAGGGTTATTTGATTAAAATTTAAGTTTTCCAAGAGTTATTTGATTGAGTTTAAGTTTTCCAAGAGTTATTTGATTGAGTTTAAGTTTTCCAAGAGTTATTTGATTAAAATGTAAGTTTTCCAAGAGTTATTTTATTGAGTTTAAGTTTTCCAGGAGTTATTTTATTAAGTTTAAGTTTTCCAAGAGTTATTTGATTTAGTTTAAGTTTTCCAAGAGTTATTTGATTAAGTTTAAGTTTTCCAAGAGATATTTGATTGAGTTTAAGTTTTCCAAGAGTTATTTAATTAAGTTTAAGTTTTCCAAGAGATATTTGATTGAGTTTAAGTTTTCCAAGAGTTATTTGATTAAAATTAAAGTTTTCCAAGAATTATTTGATTAAGTTTAAGTTTTCCAAGAGTTATTTGATTGAGTTTAAGTTTTCCAAGAGTTATTTGATTCAAATTAAAGTTTTCCAAGAGTTATTTGTTTAAAATGTAAGTTTTCAAAGAGTTATTTGAAGGAGTTAAATTTTTCCAAGAGATATTTCATTAAAGTTGAAGTTTTCCAAGTAAGTTACGATAAACAAAACCAAAAGTATGTCAACTTTAGGATATGCGAATTTATCTCATATACATTTCTTTTCTTTAAAGGTCTTTATGTCTCTGAACTGAATTTTTTGGCGGCGCTGTCATAAATCCATTGGATTTTAATAGATGTGTCTTTTTAAAACTGCTTTAAATTTTGTTCACACAATCTTATTGAAACGCTTGACCCCCGGTCACCTGTCCTCAGCCTGCCCCTACAACACATTCGACTGTCAACGGTCCGGCATATGCATCGACCAGGACCTGACCTGCAACGGCTACGACGACTGCGGCAACAACCTGGACGAGACCCTCGGCTGCAGGACGCCTTCACTCGATGTCAAGCCTTACCTGGGAGCCATCATTGGCGGCTCTGCCGGGCTCGTCGTCCTGGTCGTCGTCATTGTCGTCACTGTTGTTGTCTGCAGGAGACGTGGCGGGAAGTCGGCCTACATCCAGATCTAGAAGGGTTGCTGTTCAGACGGCTTTTGTGTATGTGTCAATAGTTGGTATTTATACGGTTTTGTGTAAGTCTCAACTGATGCTATTTATACGGTTTATGTGTGTATGTGTGTGTTGATTGTTTCTATTTAGAAGATTGATATTTATATGGATTGCTGCTGTCTATAAGTTTTTTTTTTAATGTGTATTGTTTCTATTTAGAATGTTGATTAGAATGTTAATTTAGAAATGTGTTACTCAGAGTATTTATACTTGTTGGTTTATTTTTAATGCCTATCAATCATGTTGAGAAATAATGCTCTTCAAATCCTCTCTGTGGTGTTTCCAATTTCGGGTGTGGTTTCTCGTATGTCGGGTGTTATGTCTCCAATGTCGCGTGTGGTGCCTCCAATGTCAGATGTGGTGTCTCCAATGTCGGGTGTGGTGTCTCCAGTCCTCGGTGTGCGGTCTCCAATGTCGTGTGTGGGGTCTCCAGTCCTCGGTGTGGGGTCTCCAATGTCGGGTGTGGTGTCTCCAGTCCTCAGTGTGGCGTCTCCAATTTCGGGTGTGGTGTCTCCAGTCCTCTGTGTGGTGTCTCCAATTTGTGTTGTCTCCGATGTCTGGTGTGGTGTCTCCAGTCCTCGGTGTGCGGTCTCCGATGTCGTGTGTGGTGTCTCCAGTCCTCGGTGTGGGGTCTCCAATGTCGGGTGTGGTGTCTCCAGTCCTCAGTGTGGCGTCTCCAATTTCGGGTGTGGTGTCTCCAGTCCTCTGTGTGGTGTCTCCAATTTCGGGTGTGGTGTCTCCAGTCCTCGGTGTGGGGTCTCCAATGTCGGGTGTGGTGTCTCCAGTCCTCGGTGTGGGGTCTCCAATGTCGGGTGTGGTGTCTCCAATGTCGGGTATAGACAAAATAACCATAATGGCTTGGTGAATATAATTTATAATTCCAGCATTAAAATTTAAAAAAAAAACTCCTTTATCTGCATTGCCCACGGGTATAACTAAAACGTACACAACATTTTTTGGGGTCTTAAACTGTAACATTAAATCTGTATGATAAGGTGACGCTTTTTTCTCTCTCTCTGCAAGTTTATGTCAATCCATTCCCTGAAGGTGTCACGCTTTACGTAGCACCGATCTGTCACCGTGTACTGCCGCTAACGGTGTTTGAAAAGTGTTACAGAAGGAACACAAGATACGATAACCAAATTATGTTGTAGTGTGACAGGCGAAGGCCGATAAAGGCATGGGATGAAAATTAATTCAAGATGCCTCTTCTCATGTGAGGTTTTGAAAAAAAAATATTTTACGAACTGAAAAATCTAAATAAAAAATATTTATAAAAAAAAAAAAAACTATTGTTTTTATTACCTTCGCTTTTGTCCGTGTGTTACGTTCTTTCCGTCTGAGTGTGTAGGAAAATCTTCGGACGGCTAATTGAACCATTTACCGTCAACCTAACGAACTGAAATTATAGACTCGTTGCCGATGACAACACATTCTCTCAAAGTGCGTTACTTGAAGACATGTTTATCAATTTTCAGCCACACTCCCCCCCCACCCCAATTACAGGATATTACATTGTATTGAGGATTTAAACGAAAAAAATTGTTATTTGGGGTTGTTTAATTACTTTTCTGTGTGGTTTGCTTTAATCACTCTAAGACCTTGAGACATGAACTAGCCTTTTACTTAGACACTGCCAGATTTTTTAAAAGTTCATAAAATAATGTCTAAATGCATTATGTTTTATACAACGCAAAGTGAACCCATCGCCGCATCGTCCTGTCTACTCCCGTCACACTTCAGTCCTGTCTACTCCCGTCACACTTCAGTCCTGTCTACTCCCGTCACACTTCAGTCCTGTCTACTCCCGTCACACTTCAGTCATATGATGCATTGAGCGACCCAGTTGTAGAATGCCATCGTGCCCGTTCTCTACTGCACAGATTCACTTGGAGGTATCAGAAAGGACACATTTTCCTGGAGGCTTTCATGACTCGGAATGCGATGTTGATTAACATGGTGCTGGGGTGGTCCCCACGTGTTTGATCATCAGAGAAACTACTCCAACCGCTACCTTCCCATTCAAGACTGATGTTTATTAGACCCAACACGAATTTAAGAGTATATTGTTATACCATGGGGCAAGTAGATAGTAATAAAATGAGACCAGTAGATTGTTATACAATGGGGCTAGTAGATTGTTATACAATGGGGCAAGTAGATTGTTAGATAAAGGGGCGAGCAGATTGTTATACCATTGGCGAGACCCATACAGAGAAACAAAAAATTTGAAGTTTTTTGTTGTTTTTGTCAATGCATTAAACATATAAGAAAAACTAGAACTTTAACAAAAGAAGAAATAAACAACATACACATGACTGTCCTCGGGACAACACAGAAGAAGTGAGCCAAAAATAGATCCTATTTGCGGACGATGAGTCTATTTAATTTATTTCATCTGGTGCTCTCAAGCCCAAAATAGTACCGGAAATTTCCCGTCAGTGGCGTTTACATTGTTTTCGTTTTACTTCACTAAATGTTTACTATAATCGAAAAGTGAATAAAACAATTCTTTTTTTTTTTTACAATATTAAAGCTAGCATAATTATTTTAATTAAAAATAATTATTCTGGGAATATTCGAAAACACTGGATTTAACCCTGGCATTTAAAAAGATAAAAAACATGGTTCTTAAACCATGAAATATCAGAACCGTGTGTTGATTAATAATTTCTGAATGATAGGTTCTATTTCAAACTAAAAAATCAACATTTTTCGACGAGGATTCTCAAATTTTCATAGCACGACCAGGGCCGTTGCGTGGGTCGTACCATCCCTGCGACTGTTGGGGGGGGGGTGAGGTTATATACATTTAAGGGGGCCCAAAGTTGTGATGTTGGGGGGGTTGTTATAATGAACCATCGACTTTGACTGCAGGTTGCACAAGCCCGAAAAGTGTCAGCGTGCTTCCAAAAGTCACGTGAGTGGTCAGAGCATGAACGATGTTGAACGATGACGTGAACCCGAACCCGTCAACATTTTCTGGTCACCGTCAGAGGCTCTTGCACGTGACGTATCTTTAAGACATGATACAGCAAAACCGACAGTGGCGTACACGCGAAAGACACGTTTATTCTTTAACGTAATTACATATAATATGTGCAACTGTTTGATCACAATCTCGGGCGTTAGAGTTGGGGAGTGACAACAATAAGCTGTGAAGACTGTATTCGGACTCATCGCTTACATTCATTGGGACACAATCAGTTGGACAATGTAATCTGTTTATTATTCCTCCCCCTCACCCCCCAAAAAAAAATTCGGCCTTGTTACGATGCGATTGTTAACTGTATCACATTGTTGTCGGTATCTTGGCAATCAGTCACGTGGTCAACCAAGTCATTGTCTCTTATCGTGGTTAGACGAACATAGCGACAGTTCAAACGGAAGTTTGCCTAAAACTAACCGAAAGGGCGATCAATGGTGGAACCCCAAACGACACCAGCAGAGCCTCATCACACAAATGAGGACAGAGCACTGCCCCACGAGGAGCTATCTAAATAGGTCGAACCCACTACGGGACCCGAGCTGCCGCCATTGTGGACAGGCACCGGAAACAGTAGAGCACCTTCTAGCCGGGTGCCCGACGTTAGCGACTGGCGTGACTGGGGTTCTCCCAGCCAACCACGTCTAGAGCCTGTTGTACGGGTCTGCCCAGCAGCCCTTACTTGCCGGGGCCATTAAAGAGCAATAGCTCGGTCCCATACAGTGAATGAAATATTTATTGAAGGGAAATTCTGTTGAACGGAAGTTGGGTAGAATTTTGTTTTTAGTTCACACGATCTAATTTTGTGTCTAAATTTCTTTTTCAACGCATTATTTGTCTTTTACTATATAGTATAGCGCGATCAAAAAGAAATTCGACAAAAATTCAATCGTGTGAACTGGAGAAGAAAAAATCGACCAAAATTCTGCTCGGCCAAATTTCCGTTCGATCAAAGTTCCGCTCTATCAAACTGCCGTCGATCAATTTTCCGTCGACGAAATTTCTTTCAAACAAATTTCCGGTAACCATTAAAATATAATAAACATTACGTTTATCCAATGAAAATGATAAGAACGGGCACAGGACCCTAACGAAAACAAATTGCTGTATATAATTTATGAATATGCACCAAGAGCTGCAAGCAATAAAGATAATCTATCGTCTCCCTCAGATGGAAAGATGTCATACATACATAATATATGAATAGAAAGTCTATCCGCTACAGGCTGGCCCTGGGGTCGAGGGTGGGTGGGAGGAACGTGCACATATTTTTTCCTGCCTTTCGTCTTTATGTGTCCCGTGCTTTCCCCCAAATTCTTGCCTAACGGAATTTCCCATGGCCTTCCCCATAAACTTGCCTAATGTAATCGCCCGATAAACTGTCCCAATGGACTTGCTCCATAAACTGTCCCCAATGAATTTGCCCCATAAACTGTCGCCATGGACTTGCCCCATAAACTGTCCCCAATGGACTTACCCCATAAACTGTCGCCAATGAATTTTCCCCATTAACTGTCCCAATGGACTTGCTCTATAAACTGTCCCCAATGAATTTGCCCCATAAACTGTCGCCAATGGACTTGCCCCTTAAACTGTCGCCCATGGACTTGGCCCCATAAACTGCCCCCAATGGTCTTGCCCGTTGAACATGCCCCATAGTATAACGATAACCCTTAGGTTGCGGGCTTGGTCTTACAACTAGGGCTTGTTAATAGTCAAATGAAAGCGGACGTATTTGTTTGTTAACACAGCAGAAATAAAATGTGTCTCTGTGGCTGTTAATCTCATTTGAATCGAGTTTATCATGTATGTGTTACAAGTTACAGCGATTAAAAAAAGTTCGATTATGACCCGATTGGGCCGGTGGCTCTTACACTATCCTGTGTGGTATATTTCGTGGAGTAATTAAATTAATAAACAGTCAAAAACAAAATCATCATCATCATGTCCCTTAGTCCTTGGACCGTTGGGGCGCCACAGATGACATGTGAACTATCCTCCTCCCTTCGTCTCTGTCTTCTGCACTACGCACAGCATCGCCCAGTGTTAGTCCTGTCCACTCTTTGATGTTGTCCTCCCATCTCATTCTTTGTCTTCCTCTTCTTCTCTCTCCTCTTGTGGTGCCATGCAATATTTCTTTGGCCAGCCCATGTGTCCTTTTTACGTGACCGTACCATTGCAGTTTGCGTTTTTTGAGAAAACCATAATAGCTGTAAATCATTTACAGATATTCTACAAATAGGATATGGATTTTAAACAAAAAAAAAGTTTAATAAGTAAATAAGTACTCAAAAGTAAAAAAAAAATTGAAATATTTTTGATGAATCTATTAAGTAGCACATTGAAATGATTATACATTAAAAGACTAGGAAATAAAATGACTTAAATTATTTTTTTTAAATTTAATGACCAAGACCATTTAATGTATTCGCGAAGGTTAATAGATTATCTGTATATATTCTCACGATGCAAACACAAAAATCAAACTATCTCTATTTTGTCTTGATATCTCAACCCATACAGCTGCAGTGAAGTTAATTTCATTGCTAATAATAGCAAGATAACAATAGGGTAATCGGTTGAGCCTAAGATATGGCTCGCCACCTCTCTCTATCAACATGATGGTGATCGGGGTTGTTGGTGGGTTGTTTTTGGTGTGTGGGGGGGAATCTTCGCAAGCATCTAATAATATCAGTGATCCCACTACTTAAAAGCGTGTTAGTGAATTGACGTGTCACTTAGGTTGTTTGGCGTGTTCTCTGTCAGGAAGTGAGATACACAGGACACAAATTAATATTGAAAAAAAAAAAAAAAAACTCCCAAAAAATCAGGATACAAGAAATTAAAAACCAATTGTTCAACTTCAGTTTCAAGTAAGTCAGTGTTTCTAGCGTACCTGGACCGAACGGGGGAATATTTTTTTTTTTTTTACATTCTATTTTGGAGTTAAATCCAGGAAGTAATTAGAAGGTTCTGTGTGTTTTCTCTCCTACATCAGCTTTTCAAGGCGTATGCCGTGCATGTGTTATCGGGCTAGTGAGTAATGTTTATAAACATTAACTATTTTATGTTAATTTTTAAAAAAAATATAATTGACATGGACTGTTTTTTTAAAAAAATCACAATGGAATATTTCCGATGTTTTACCGCTAGCCTCTTTTCCCAGTATGATACAAGAACTAAAGCTAGTAGCAGTCAATACATGTAGTTTTAGACGTGGTTATAGTCATTGCAGTCACTGTAGTTTTAAGAGCCCAGTGGCGTAGAAGAAGGGAGGTCGAGGGATTGACCCCATTGGGTGGCACTGTTTACAGCTGCTACAAAGCACAAATGACGAATCCAGAAAAGCCCGTGTCAGCTCTGTACCTGGAGTTGTACAATCCATTCTCTGCACCTAACAGAGGCGTAGTGAGAGTGTTTGGCGCCCGGGGACACGATTCGCGCCCGGGGACAAGATTTATTTTAAAGCGCCCACTTTTCTTTTTTCCCCACTCTCAAATCCATTATTTTCATCAATAAAATAATATCAAAGCTCATTTTGGCGCCCCTAACTAGCTGGCGCCCGGGGACATCTGTCAATTCCTACCCTAATATAAATCATAAAACACTGTCATTGTATAACATTAACTAAACAAATAAGGTGTTGAATCCTATTGGAAACGCCAACGGTGGCGCTTCTGTTAGAGCAATGGCGTGTAACGCGTCACAGTCTGCAGAAATAGCTTTGCAGTCCAGTAAATTTTATTTTGGGTTGAAATGAAGCTTGTCTTACGGAAATCATGAGTTTACTTGCAATTATTATGCAAATGGCATTCTACAACAACTTGCGATTTGAATATAAATTTGCGCGAGCTGCGTGTGCATGTATATAAATATAATTGGTAAGAGTATCTCTCTTAATAGATAATACACAAAGTTCTCTGTGTTCGCAGTTAGTACACAGCTGAAATTTGTCCAATTCTTAAGGGACACAAAAGTTTGTTCAAATTTAGCAGGATATTTTTAAATGTCATCTAAATTCATTGTGAAAATTTGATTCGAAGCTCGGACGATAATAATGATAGCATATCAACAAATCCCTTCTGTCTTACCACAGAGTACATGTAAATCAGTTTTAAAACTTTATTGACTATTTAACTGTTAGCTCATGCCGTGCACGTTGTAGAGATGACGTGTGTGTCTGTGTGGGTCTGTGACGGGTCTGTGACGGGTCTGTTTGGGTCTGTGTGGGTCTGTGACGGGTCTGTGTGGGTCTGTGTGGGTCTGTGTGGGTCTGTGATGGGTCTGTGTGGGTCGGTGTGGGTCTGTGGCGGGTCTGTGACGGGTCTGTGTGGGTCTGTGTGGGTCTGTGACGGGTCTGTGACGGGTCTGTGTGGGTCTGTGTGGGTCTGTGTGGGTCTGTGACGGGTCTGTGTGGGTCTGTGTGGGAGAAATCTAAAACGTACTGAACAGCATTCTGATCCAACGACAAGCCGGCGGGTGGCAAGTCTAGCAGTGTGATACGTTCGTCCAGAAAACTAAGATAACCACTTGAACACTTGAAGCATCTCGAGTGATCTTTTAGTGTACAATTAAAAGATAACGCCAAAAATAAAACACACCGTTTTGATAAGCGCTTTGTTTCTTTGTTTTGTTTTTTTTATTCGGATGGGAAACTTTAACCATGGATTCTTTGCCTCGCAGGCTAGGCACCACCGATAATGAAAAATTCAAAATTGAAGATAATGGAAAATATGTTCAATGAAACTGTCTCTCAGTTATTTAAAAACAATATCTTGTTGCATTATTGTATCATTTGATGATACAGAATTTATCGATTTTAACTTGACATTTGGTTCAGTTTTTTTTGTTTTTTTCCCTCGGGTGAACTTTTATCATGATCGCTGTAGGTTCATTGATTTTGAAAGAGATAGTGCGGTACGAATTGATGTGAAACAATGAAACAAAAGACAGCCACTGATTCTCATATATTAAAGTACACAACTATATCAGATTAAATTTGTTATAGTGATAAAATTTTGATTAGGAGATTCCAGGTTTTAAAGTTATATTTTCCTTTCGAGTGATAGCTTTTTACAACCTTTTGTATGATGAGATATGGGGTAACTGACAGAGGCGTAACCTGTTGAATATATTTTTCTTCTGCTTTGTCCCTCTTCCTTTTCGCAATCCCCCCCCCCCCCCCCAAACTCCACATGTTTTATATTCATTGCACTAAGTGAAGAAAAGGCTGTCATGCGTGACGTGTGAACTCATGTAAAAAAAATAATTTGGGAGCATCTATCATATTAATCAATAGAGAGCTACTGGTTTGGTGTAGGACTATCTGTAGCCCGTTTTAATTCACTTCGGCTACTATAAAGGAATCAGCTTATAAAAATAATACCATTATTCAATCATCCGAGGAGCTAACACCAGGAATTGGGGCAATATGGCTAGTACTTTTTTTTTTTTTACAATCTTAAAGACCCTTTGAACTAGTTTTCATGAGTGATAAATAAATTAATAGATAGCGAAAACCTAAAATACTGAAATGATAATATACACATACATGCATACATATATTATTCGTGTTCTGATGAAAAAAATACAATTAATTTTGCATGATTTTGAAAATAGTAATTTTGTGGAACAAAAACTATCCTCATGGTAAAATTATGCCCACTTGAAATTCCTTTAGGTAAATACTGGTATGTTGATAAGTTTCTTCGAACTTAATGTTAGAACTTTCCGTAGTCTTGAGACTAATGTTTCGTACGGGCCAATATCCAACGTCTATGGATGTTTCTCCTTGCAGCTCATCTTGACATTTTTATCACAAATATAACCTTCTCATCTCAACAGTTCATGTCCATTAACACAGTTATAAGGATGCCAAGAACTATGACAACAACGATGACAATAACTATGACTATAAAGACGACGATAAAGATGACCACAACGATAAAATAACAAATGACTACAGCCCACACGAAACGCTAAAGATGTCTATGCCCAAGAGCATAACGATGATATTAACAATTACCATAACGATGAAGATAACGACGACTATAAACCTCAATGAACCACTCAGCGCTGCACCACCGGATGAAATAATTATCCACCATCCCAACGACCCAATGCACCACATACCATGGGGGCGCGGACTGACCGTCCCACACACACAGAGCCATGTAAACATGAGAATGTGAAACTGTATTAGTGAAAGAAGAAGACGTTGAGCAGAGATCAAAGCATCAAACGAAACAAGACATGAACTTAAAATTTTATTCTGAACATTACACAATTATTGTTATTGTAAATGAGACCTGAAATCTTTCTCTTTTTTTTTGTTCAGACATGACGTCAACATTATCTACCAGAACATTGATTTTTTCCGTCGCTGTCTTGGCTGTCACGATTTCTACCTGTTCAGCCTCATGGTATCCAAGTGTATGTAAGTACACAAATGATAAAAAAAGAATTGTATTGTTAATTTATATATCAAATTACGCTTGGTTGTATAGCTTTTTTTTCTTACTCGCCACTAGCCTAATTTAAAGACTCATTCTTTGGTAACAAGTTTAGTTAGACTTGACTTTTGTGTACAGGGATTAAACATAATACGTACACATAAGGCAAAATAATGATTGCCACTCAGTGACATTATGTACACTTTAAATTAAAATTACGCCAAAACAAAATGAGAAGATTAGTAGTTTCTTGTGTACACCTCTGTACGAAATACAGAGTTTAATATTTCGAGTGCTGAAATTGTCTCACAGATTACTTGGAAGACTACTGTGGCCGCTCACTCACAGTCCGTAATGACGTGATCATCAAAATTTCACGCAGAGTCTATTTACCAAGCAACTGGATGTGCTCTTTGACCTTAATGCCTTACTCTGGGTATGAAGTCGTGGCGTCGTTCCACAGCTACTCCATGAGCAGCGCGTACACCTACTCTAGCACCTGTGTGTACGAGGCCATACAGTTGAGCAGTCTAAATAATCCAAACATTCTAGGTATTTGGTTTTAGCAACATTAAAAAAAAATAATTAGATCAGAGAAAAATCTGCGGACAAAGCTTATTTCTAGGGTTCGATATCTAATCAGTCTTTTTTGGGGGGTTTGATTCTATATTGTGATTTTTTTAAAAAAAATTGTTGGTCATATTCTTTTTTATTTAAAATATGCACGTAATATGCGTGTACGCCATTTTAAAACATCAACTAATACTTCTTAGATCCGGGGTAAAACTTGATATTAAAATATCACAATTTGTATCTTCTATCGGCTGTCATTTATTAGCTCAAAATGCATCATCATCATTCAGATACAGTACCGGTACTCATTTGGGTAATGGCCCATTGGACATGTGCCCTGTGGGCCACGTAACATGTATACTTACCTCTATAATTTAATTGAAGGATTGTTCTTTGCGTGTGTTTTGGTTTCATGCGTTTTCAAGTACTTGACATTTTAACGTTGTAAGCTTGCTAACTTTGTGTGTGTTGGTGTGTGCTCAAAAAAAAAAAAACACAGGACCCTATGGTTACTGCAAGTCATACTCCCCGTCGTCACAGTACCACTTGACCAACATTGGCACGCTTAGATTCGCAACTGGACCATACAGTTATCTGAAGCCACCGTCGATACAGCTTGTCGTAAATGAAGTGTACAGCAAAAACACCACGGGCTGTAAGTACCACGTCTTTCAGTGTCTCACCGTGCAGCTCAAAATTGTAAGTACCACGTGTTTCAGTGTCTCACCGTGCAGCTCAAAATTGTAAGTACCACGTGTTTCAGTGTCTCACCGTGCAGCTCAAAATTGTAAGTACCACGTCTTTCAGTGTCTCACCGTGCAGCTCAAAATTGTAAGTACCACGTTTTTCAGTGTCTCACCGTGCAGCTCAAAATTGTAAATACCACGTGTTTCAGTGTCTCACCGTGCAGCTCAAAATTGTAAGTACCACTTGTTTCAGTGTCTCACCGTGCAGCTCAAAATTGTAAGTACCACGTGTTTCAGTGTCTCACCGTGCAGCTCAAAATTGTAAGTACCACGTTTTTCAGTGTCTCACCGTGCAGCTCAAAATTGTAAGTACCACGTTTTTCAGTGTCTCACCGTGCAGCTCAAAATTCCTTTAAATACTTTGCACCCTTCATCATGTCCTGTCACAGTAATTTGTAATGTTTTATCAGCAAGCTTGGCTTTAAAATGAAGAAATGATATAATGTCACCACCAAACTGGGTTTGAATTTGATATTGTGAATCCTAAAATCTATGCAAAGTCCACCAGAAATATAAATTCACTCCTATGGACGATACACATTTAAAAAAAATTTAATTACTTAATTTATTCAGACATTATCAGATTAAAGACTATTTAATACTAAAGAAACAGCCTTTAGGTCTCAAAAATCAACAAGTAACGCCAAAAAACACACACACAAAAACAACAGAAAACAAGGAAAAAAACATTTACAAGATACCGTCATTAAAGGGAACCAAAACACAATCCTAAGTAAAGTAGTAAATCTAAGGATAGCGTGGAGGGCCAAGGAAGTGGAGATGAGTTTCTTGAATCAAAACTTTCAGACTTTTAACACTAAGTGGACAAAGTGAAATCGGAATATGTCAAAAGAAATTTAGTATTAAATATGTATAGACGTTTCTTTTTTTGTTCCTCAAGTCTTACACAGTTTTTCTGGTGGACCATGAATGTTTGTTTGTATGTCAATCGGTTTTTAGTCTAAGTCAGCGGTTCTCAACCTGTGGATCGCGATCCCTATGGGGTCTAACGACCCTTAAACAGGGGTCGCCTAAGATCATAAAAACACATATTTATGAGGTAGCAACGAAAATAATTTAATGTTTGGGTGTCGCCACAACATGAAGAACTGTATTAAAGGGTTGCTGCATTATAAAGGTTGAGAACCACTGTTCTAAATCATCATGTTTTACAAATGACTTCAACATTTCCCCCCAACTCCATAATAAACCACGAAAATTGCAACAACTTCCAGATTGTACCGGTGGCAGATTTGATTGCGGGGGCCGTAGCAACCAGTGCATCGACCAGCAGCTCACGTGTAACGGATATGACGACTGTGCTAATGGCGACGACGAGATCGGAGGTTGTACCATCACCATCGCCGCCGGGGTCATCGGGGCCATCGTCGCTGGTGTCTTTATATTCGTCGTTCTGGTCATTGCCGTGTCTTTGCTTGTCAGAAGGCAGAGGTTAAGGGTTGCCTACGTACAGTACCAGTAATGGAGTCAGTTTGCAAAAGTAGCGGACGACGTCATACAGTTTGTTTGGCCCCGAGGAAAAAGAAATGTTGACAGCACGTCTGTCAAGTTAACATTCAAACACAGTTAAATGTGTGTGAACGAACTAACTTGGCAAATACCGAATGGTTAATGTAAATTTGGATTGAGAAAACAGTTAGCGAAATCCTGCCTAAAATTATTTTGTTTTAAAACTTGGTTGAAGAATGCGTGGCACAGGAGACTTAGACGGAGACCCAGGGGAGACTTACAGGAGACTTACCGTATAAAAGACTTACAGAAGACTTAGGGAGGCTTACAGGAGATTAGGGGGAGACTTAAAGGGAGACTTACGGGGGACCAAAGCAGCTTGAAATCTCTGGCTTTTGTTTGTGAAGAAATTTAAATGAGGAATGAGATGAAATGATTACAAAGAGTAGCTCATAATTTTTTTTTTAAAGTAATAAAAACGACTTCTTTTGAAGCAAGGTGTTTGTATTTCATTTGAACGTTGATATGTTTTCCAAGATGAAAGATGAAATGCTAGAGCCCAGTGTTACTTCCAGTATTTGATTTAGTTTTTTGGTACATTCGTATTATTACAGTTGTTAGAAATAATTCGTAGTTAATCCCCACTAACTGATACTCATTTGAGGTGTCCACTCTGGTCATAACAACTTATAAAAATAACAGTGATATCAGTATAGGAAGAAAGGTAACAGCACGCAAATAAGAGTTAAATTTCTCACGATTATAATGACACGAGTTTTAAAGCAGGACTTATATGGACAAGTCAGTGTGTGTCTAATGTCTAGGGCAGGGACGTGCTGGCACATGGAAACCCGTGACGAACGGTGTAGTAAGAAAGGCCCGGAGGGTGCGCGCCCCCCCCCCCACGCACACCGGAGGTTGTAATAACTGCCCAAAAAGGCCCACGACGAATGCTCGTCGCGTCGTCGTGAGCCAGCACGTCCCTGGTCTAGGGTCGTATCTATTTGTCTTGGGCTGCTGATGATTTGGTGTCAAGTTACATGTAAAATAATTTACAGCGTAATTTTAATTCAATAATACATAATCTTAATTTTTAATTGGGTTTTACAATTTTTCAACGGCGGCAGATGGCTTCTGTTCCTGTAAAGTTATCCCTTTGAAAAAAATAATTAATTTTAAAAAAAAACAACAACAAAAAAGTGTGTGCGTGTATTCCGTCATTTATTTCAAACTATTTATAAATCACTATTTCTTCGGAATCGCAACTATTGTTATTTATAAAAACGTTTTAACCAAGTACGCCAGTATTTAGGAAAAAAATAATACGTGTTTTTTAAAGGAAAAAAAAAATTAATTAAAATTATTTTTTCTCTTATTTTCACGTTGCTTGTTTCTTCTTCTTAGTCTGTCTCATTCCCAATGAAGCATATGTCATCCACAATAGTTTGAAGCATAGGCCATCCACAATAGTTTTCCATCTGTCCATGTCCTGTACTATCTTTGCTAGTTCAGCCCAATGGAGCATAGGACATCCACAATAGTTTTCCATCTGTCCATGTCCTGGACTATCTATGCTAGTTCAGCCCAATGGAGCATAGGACATCCAAAATAGTTTTCCATCTGTCCATGTCCTTGGCTATCTTTGCTCGTTCAGCCCAATGGAGCATAGGACATCCAAAATAGTTTTCCATCTGTCCATGTCCTGGACTATCTTTGCTCGTTCAGCCCAATGGAGCATAGGACATCCAAAATAGTTTTCCATCTGTCCATGTCCTTTGCTATCTTTGCTCGTTCAGCCAAATGGAGCATAGGCCATCCACAATAGTTTTCCATCTGTCCATGTCCTTGGCTATCTTTGCTCCAAGTCGGTTTACCTCGTATCCGGTAGGTGTTATCAAAAGGTACTGTCCATGTCCTTGGCTATCTTTGCTCGTTCAGCCAAATGGAGCATAGGCCATCCACAATAGTTTTCCATCTGTCCATGTCCTGGACTATCTTTGCTAGTCCAGCCCAATGGAGCATAGGCCATCCACAATAGTTTTCCATCTGTCCATGTCCTTGGCTATCTTTGCTAGTCCAGCCCAATGGAGCATATGCCATCCACAAGACTCTTCCATCTGTTCATTTCCTTGACTATCTTTGCTAGCTAAGCCCAACTTTTCTCCATTCTCTTAACCTCTGCCTCTAATCCCCTCTTTAAACATGTGGAAATGACAAGGAGGCTGGTGGCTCCCAGCGTTATTATTTTTGTGTTCACGTGTCATAAACTGTGCGTTGCTGACGCTTAAACGTAACTTAACCTCTTTTGGAGGTTTACTATACAACAATAGTTGATAAAACTAAATCACTGTTGGTTCATTAACTTTCATCTCGGCATTTATATAAATTGGCTTCGCAAATATGAACACAATATGAAACAGAAAAGACGCCCTTGCATGAACGTCGAGCCAAAGAATCAAAAGTACCGCATTGGCAGCAACCATAAATCAATATTTTATCTTTGCATTAATGGAGAAAAAAATTGAAACACAGATGTAATTGATAAAATCAAGAAATAGATAAATCCTAATACACATGTGTTTTGATTGTATATGTTCTTTGTTGACATGCTGTTCGTAATATTAGTCAACATAGAGTGCCTCCAATTGTGCTCTCTAAGCGAAACTTTACTAGCCGCTTTTGAACACGCAAATGAATTAAAATATCCAGTGCAAATGAAGAACAAAATCTGGGCACTTCAACACAAAACTGAATGCTTCACTTACGCAGACTTGAAAAATCCTTCATAAAATATAGCGCTTTAATTTTTTTTTTGAAATACCCCAATCTACGTTAGTTAGTTGTCAACATTGAATCTTTTATTCCCCCCCCCCAACACCCCCCCCCAAAAAAAAAACAACAAACAACAACAACAAAAAAACAAACAAACGAACAAACCCCTCCCCCAAAAAAAAAAACAACAACAAAACAACAAAAACAAAGGAAGACAACTGAATAAGTGAATGTAGTAACTCTCTTAGCCAAACAAGAGTTCTAATGATGCGGTGCGCTCATCAGCAAACACATGCCTCACTACTTATTTCATGTGGTATGAAGCTGTATAAAGCATTAACTATATCTTATCGTATCCTAAAAGCTGATAGAATTCACAAAGAACATGTTTCTAATTGGGGGGCTTCTAAATTTTTAAAACGACTTATAATTCTCATTAACTACGTGCTCATCATAAAATGTTGCGTGTTTACAATGAGTATTTCGTATTTAGTGAAAACTTGTGCTTCTCTAGAATCCATTTCGTTTGAATTCAAACACATTAATAGCCAATAAACACGTCACTCCACTACTTCGCTCACTTCATTGGCTCCCTTTACAGGCACGTATGGATTACAAGATTTCTTTTCTCTGTCGCAACTTTTTCAATGGTTGCTGCCCTTCCTATTTTACTGAACTTCTTTCTGTCTATTCACCCCTTCGACAGCGTGGTTGCTTCGAAAACACAGATATTTTTTTCTGTTCCCAAGACACGCACTAAAACATACGGTGAACGATCGTTCTCTTTCTGCGCCCCCAAACAATGGAATTCTCTCCCATTACACATCCTCAATATACCGATCCATCCAAGCCTTCAAAACTGATCTCAAGACACATCTCTTACAACTCTACTATTCCAACTCATTCTCACCCCACTCTGATCGAGAAACAATGCTTGATGCTGTTGGGTGCCGTCCGTGGCTACACAAGGGTAAATAGCACTAATATAGGTCAATATATTTACAAAGCTGTTTTTAAATAAATAATTTTATGTACCTGTTTTTTTTAAATGTCATGTTTCTTTTTTTCTTGTTGCTAATCTTTATATGAAGCGAGGTGGGCCTAGTTCTGAGCTTGAGTACCGCCGTAAATAAGACCACCCTAAAAAAAATAATCGTTTGCAATGATAGATTTTATGAAAGTTAAGCGATTTAAAGGAGTTCGAAACGCTGAATTTCTCTAGTCCTTAATCAACTGTTTATCATCCATCTTGTCACATCTTATCAATTTCTTCTCAACCCATCAGTGACTCGTGCAAAACTAGTAAGGTAGACACCACTGCTATCAAGATCAGTGAAGTGGACTGCGTTGATTTCTCGTTTGAGGGTGTACCACGGCCAGGTTAAGATGACGATGAAAAGGCTATACAAACTGGCAGAGAGGATGCGGGTAATGAAGTCCCTGCGGGGGGGGGGGGGAAAAAGCAAAATCTGAAGACCAGAGAAAACCAGCGGCCAAGGTTCGGCTGGGAAAAGTTAAGTCCAAAAGACTGAAACTCTATTAGTGGACTGCGTTGATTGCTCGTTTGAGGGTGTACCACGGCCAGGTTAAGATGACGATGAAAAGGCTATACAAACTGGCAGAGAGGATGCGGGTAATGAAGTCCCTGCGGGGGGGGGGAAATAGCAAAATCTGAAGACCAGAGTAAACCAGCGGCCAAGGTTCGGCTGTGAAAAGTTAAGTCCAAAAGACTGAAACTCTATGATCGGTCTGATGGTCACACGCAGAAATATAATTTAATTGATGATTGTTAAGCGATTTAAAAGAGCTCGAAACGCTTAAATTTCAATAATTCTTAATCAACGTATCAACTGTTTATCATCCATCTTGTCACATCTTATCAATTTTTAACCCCCATCATAGTTCTTCTACTATGTATTAAGGGCCCACGATCAATTTATTGATCATTTTGGCTCCTATGCATGTAGAGGGGATTTGCAATGTTTATGTGCCTGGTCTTGATGAGGATATGTCACTGATTGCAAGGGCTACTTTGTGAGGAAATCATGCACCAGAGGTTGGAAAGCTTGAGGTAATAGACGCAAATGTGTCTAGTGTTGTCGCCTCAACAGTTCCTTTTGAAAGCTTGTTCCAGTCCCTGATTGTCCTTGGCAGGAATGAGCAGTTCCTTTACAGGCTTCTTGCTGATATGAGCCGGAATAGCCTGTCATGGCCTCGTCGCTGTCTATGTGGGAGAGGGACGAGTTTCCGTTCATACTGGAACAGTGGACTGGCCCATTATTTATCTTTTACATTATGGAGAGCCTGGTGGCCAACCTAGTGTTTCCAGCATGCTGCCAACACTAGAGGTATTCCTATAGCGGTTCAGGACAAAGCGTGCTGCCCGTCGCTGTACCGCCTCGAACCTGTCAAAGCTCTTCTGGGTAAATGGGTCCCAGACTGAAGATGCATAATCTAAAACCGGACGGACAAAGGCTTTATAGGCTCTTTCGTTTACACTGAAGTTGCCAATCTTTAGATTACGCTTTAAGAACCCCAAGGTCGTGTTTGCCTTGTTACACACATTGTTAATATGCTCGCCCCAGCGGACCTCTCTTTGAATGCTAGCACCCAGGTACTTTACGGATGAAACTGGCTCAAGTATATGGCCATGCAGTTCGTATTTAAATATATAATTTGTTATCTACATTTTGTTAATTGTAGTTTTAAAAAAAAATCAACCGAAAATATATTTGTCTAAAATACCATTGACATTATATGACGTTATTTCTGAAAAAATTTTGGAAACCCTTCAAATTAGTTTTAACTGTCAATTCAATATCTATTCTAATTCCTTTGGTCTCGGCCTTGACCCTGTTTTCAGGCCAAAATAACATGCAGTTATATAGACATTTATATTTATATTTCTTGTGCTTGATTTATCACAGGGCAAATCAAAATGTGAACTAAAATCAAACATCTTATCGTGTTTTTGTTTTGTTTCTAAATGGGATAAGATAGATGTAAAGTTT